TAAACATTCCCTAAGCATACATCAAGCTGAGTTGTCTATATGACCTTTTTTTTATATTGCAAGTGGTCAAAAAAAAAAATTTGAAAAAAAAAAAAAAACGTCAGAAGCATAGGCCTCGCAAATGGAAAAACCACTGTATGCTACAATGTTGTAAATCTATCAATAAAGGGAAGTTTGAAAATACATGACATGAACATTAAAGCCCGGGGCTTTCTCAACACGAGTGTTCAGTCATGGTGTCAGAGAAATGCTCTTTGTACTTTACTTTTCTGGGTCTGCAGGTCTCTTCCCACTGCAGTACTGAGCAAGGGAAAACACGACTTTATGGTTGCAAAAGAGGTCCAAGATATTCGTGGTGTGTGTGTGTGTGTGTGTGTGTGTGTGTGTGTGTACACACACGTGTGCCTGTGCTGACCTTGGTAACAAATGATAAGGAACTGGCAACGGGAAGCCCTTGTGTTCTCGGTCATCACAAGCATGCAATAGGAAAGTCACCTTTTCTAGCCGATGAGAAGCCTCACGAGGAGGCTGTCACACGGCTGGGCCCTGCTCATTCCGCGGGAATGACAGCGGCATTAAGTCGGCTATGAGAAGAGATGTAATTTTATTAAAGTAAAAGGATTCTTTATTGAGTGCATAGAGGACTTCCGCCTGCTTCTGTGTTCTGCTCTAAATTCTCCTGCGACTACACATCTTGGGGCAACAGGCGGGGAGGTGACGCAGCCTCTTCCACCCATGTCTGTGTGTCTTCTATTCCACCAGACAGAAGGAGCTTGGGAGGCGTCCGAGGAAAATGCGGCCTGTCTAAATTCATCTAGTTTCTCCCAAGCTACTTTTAGTTTGAGGCCAGGGCATGAGTCAACCTACTTCAGGATCCAGCAATTCCACTCTTGGGAATATACCCATAAGATGCCCAATCATACAAGAGCATTTGTTCAACTATGTTCATAGCAGCACTATTTGTAATAGCCAGAACCTGGAAACAACCTAGGTGCCCCTCAAGAAAGTGTGGAATATATACACATTAGAGTACTACTCAGCGGTAAAAAACAATGACATCTTGAATTTTGCATGCAAATGGATGGAAATAGAAAACACTATCCTGAGTGAGATAACCCAGACCCAAAAATACAAATATGGTATGTACTCACTCATTAGTGGACTCTAGCCATAAACAAAGGACCTTGAGCCTATAGTTCGTGATCCTAGAAAAGCTAAGTAATAAGGTGAACCCAAAGAAAAACATATATAGAGCCTCCTAGAAATTGGAAGCAGACAAGATCGCCGGGCAAAAGTTGGGAGCATGGGGGTGGGGGTGGGATGGGGGGGGGAAGGGGGGGGGGGGGGGGGGAAGGGGAGAGGGAGAGAGAGAAGGGAGAAGGAGAGGGTTGGGGAGAACTTGGGGGAGGGGATGGGTGAGATGGAGGAAGGACAGATATGGGAGCAGGGAAGAAGATATCTTAATTAAGGGAGCCATTTTGGGGTTGGCAAGAGGCTTGGCTCTAGAAGGGTTCCCAGGTGTCCATGGGGATGCCCCCAGCTAGGATCCTGGGCAATGGAGGAGAGGGTGCCTGAACTGGCCTTGTCCCATAGTCAGACTGATGACTATCTTGAATATCACCATAGAACCTCTGTCCGGTGACAGATGGAGATAGAGACAGAGACCCACATGGGAGCACTGGACTGAGCTCCCAAGGTCCAGCTGAAGAGCAGAAGGAGGGAGAAGATAAGCAAGGAAGTCAGGACCACGAGGGGTTAATCCACCCACTGAGACAGTGTGCCTGAGCTAATGGGAGCTCACCAAAGCCAGCTGGACTGGGACTGAATGAGCATGGGATCAAACCGGACTCTCTGAATGTGGCTGACAATTGGAGCAGACAGAGAAGCCAATGATAATGGCACTGGGATTTGTCTCTACTGCATGTACTGGCTTTTTGGGATCCTATTCTATTTGGATGAACACCTTCCTAAGCCTTGGACTTCCCACAGGGCAGGGCACCTTGCCGTCTCTTAGGACTGGAGGGGGAAGGGGTAAGGGGGAGCAGAGAGCGGGAGGGAAGTGGGAGGAGGGGAGGGAGTGGAAATTTTGAATGGTATTATTTATAAAGCAATAAAAAAAGAAGAAAAAATTAAAAAAAAAGAAGAGATCCGCACTAGCACCCATACAGACTCAACTCCAAATGAATCAAGAGTCTCAACGTAAGATCACACACACTGAATCTGATAGAAGACAAGGTGGGGGAATAGCCTCCAACTCCTTGGCACAGATTAAGACTGTCTGAACTAACACAGGCACTAAGATCAGCAATTAATACATGGGACCTCGTGAAGCTGAAAAGCCGCATAGCAAAGGACACCGTCATTTGGGCAAAGTGGCAGCCTACAGCGTGGGAGAAGATCTTCGCCAATGATCCATATGACGCAAATTATATATCTGAAAGAGGGTTAGTATCCAAACTATATAAAGAACTAAAAAATTAAAACATCAAGAGAATGAATAATCCACAAAAAAATGTCTAAAATATCAAAGGCTGTTACCAAGGCTCTTGGTTACATTCTATAACGTGACCATAAGGCCTTAGTGCTGAAGCAAACACTCATAAATCTCTTAATGGTCTTGCTTTTTCACTGTTATTTTTGTGGGGTTTTGTACTTTGTTTTGTTTATTTGTTAGAGAGAGGGAGGAAACATAAAGTTGGTAGGTAGGAAAGCGAGGAGGATCTGGAAGGAATTTTTGGAAGGGAAAACCTGATTAAAATAAAATATATTGTGAGAGTTTTTTTCAATAAAAGTTTGAAAAACGTATGTTTAGAAATCTTTCCAATTTATAACGTCAGGTATGAAAGACATTGAAATGTCACTTAAAATGATCACAGTGATACTAAAGGTTGCAATCAAATTATCAAATAAGTAATTCTATAGTCAAAATCCCATTGATTATCTATAAGAAACCCAAGGCATTAGGTATAAATTAAATCGGCAGAATGATAAACATTATCCGTCATCCCCAAGGCATTGTGTCCAAACATGAACCTTTCTCCATCTAGAATCTTCCACAGAAAAACGACAGCAATGGCCAGAGGATGATGAAGCAGCCCATTCATTTCATTACATAAATGCAATTAAAGCTCAGGGAAAGCTTCTCCCACACAGCAAATTTTTCCACAAAGTGAATCTTCACAGAAAAAAAAAAAATCTCCCATGAGACTGCGGAGGCCCTCTCAGTCACAGCGAAACCCAGCTACAGGCTCACATCTGAGTCCCCTTTAATTAACATCTAAGTCGGCTATTGTGCACATTGACTGAAAAAAAAAAAACTTCAAAATCAGGGCTAGCAAAATGTAAGAAAGAGACCTTGCTCAGCAGACTCTGGGTACCTGATACACACTGCACCACCAGCCTATCAGCTTATATAGGACTAAATTCTATATACATCGGCACATGACAGATTAAGGAACTTTAATGTAAGAATTCAATTTTCTATGTTCCTGCGACCTTAAATAACATAGCAATCCATCTCTTATTCCTACCAAGATGATATCAACTCTGAAATGAATTTGAGTGTTCTCTTGAGGGAAAAAAAAACAACCCTAAAAACAATAAAAACCAACAACAACAAAACCACTGTGCACAGAAGGGCATTATGTTGCAGAATATTTGTTTAACCATGCAAAGACGTGACACATCCATGTTAAGTTGCTTAAATATGTAAAGATGTGTTTCGTTTCTTTAGACTGTGGGATATTTACTTAATAACTATGTAAAGATGTGTTATATTGGTTTTAGTTATGTAAAGGCGTGTTGCTGTTTTACCTTGCCTGCCTAAGGCACCTTAATGGTCTAATGAAGAGCTGAATGGCCAATAGCAAGGAAAGAGGTCTAGGCGGGACTTCCAGGAAGGGAGAGTGAGTAAGAGGAGGGATTTAGGAACACAAAAAGAAACAGAGACACCAGGGAGGCACCAGGAGCCAGACAGACAGACACAGGAGGACGCAGGAAAGCAGGACATAGATAATGCAAGAAAGGTAAAAAGTCCCGAGGCAAAACACAGGTGAACAGAAACAGGTTAAATTAAGTTAAAAGAGCTAGTACATCAAGCCTAAGAAAAGGCAGACCTTTCATAATTAAGTCTTGGGAGCTGGTTAGTGGCCCAAAGAAAATTCCAACTATAGCATCACACAAAATATAACTAGAATGATAGATGGGTTCTAAGCAGAAGGGGAAGGGATGGGAGACGGACGGCTCAGTGGTTAGCAGTTCTTCCAGAGGATCTGAGCTCAATTTCCATCACTCATTCCTACAGCTCACAGGTGCTAATGACCCCAGCTCCAAGGGATCTGACGCCCTCTTCTGGTCTCCCCAGGTACTGCGCTCAGGTACACACCCACTCACACAGATAAACACAAGCATACATAATTTAAAAAATAAAAGTCTTTTTTTTTAAAAAAAAAAAAAAAAGAGAGGAGGAGGGGATGGGGCAGATGAATGTAGAATGTGAGAACACACATATACAACAAAAAGAAGTGTGATATTGTACATGGGGATTCAAAGTCTACCACGTGTGATTTTTGTCGTTTTTAAAATAATTACTAAGAAAGAAAAGGGCATGATCATTATAAGCTTTTCCAATACTTCTATGTAAGTGACTTACACAGGATGTCTGGGCCATAAACTATGCCAACAGAAAAGGTAAAATCGACTGAACTGTTGCTCATAGCCAGAGCATTAAAGCAAAGAGCATGTTGAAGCCTGTAATATCTTTGTCCCTGACATGGAAAACGCTAAGAGAGCCCATCTGGTTTTGTTTTTATATATATACTATCACATTTTACTTTGGACCGACAACATTTCAGGACACTGCAAGCTTGTAGTAATTTAATCTCCGGTTAGAGCTGCGGAAGTGGGTTTGAGTCTAGCCGAGGAAAGTTCCCCGGGTTCTGGGAAATGTCACCTTGGACGCTGTGCGGCAGTTAGTCCCCTGCTCTGAAGCGCACACTTACATCCACGTCACAGCCGTACTCGGATCCATCCAGAAGGGTCACTTTGCACTGCATGCTTTTGGGCCTTTTGACGATCTTCAACGGGGACCGTGAGAGTTTGCTGCTGGAGGATCTCTGAGAGAGTTTATCGTCTTCAAATTGCTGGTACTCAAGTTGTTTCGCGGCTGCGGCAGCCAAGTCCCGGTCCTTGTCGCTGCCCTGTGAACAGCAACAGTAAGACAGGAAATGGATAGTGAGCCGCTTGGACACCGCTTCCTAGGGGATGTGAGCCGTCTCCACTGTGGTGCGAGGAGCAGACACACAGATCTGAATATTCCTGAAGCCCAGTTACACCTAAATAACCCCACCCACCTAAGTGTACCAAGCGGGCCTTTTCTCAGCTGACCCAAGGCTTAGTAGAGAAGAGATTTAGTCAACTCTATCAAGATCTCACTCAGAACATGAGTAAACCCACTCTTGGCTTTTCAGAGGCATTCTATAGTGAGCCACGAAAGCCCACTGTTTCCATAATCGATTGGATACTTCTGGATGCCCTGACCTGTGAGATCCACCCCTCTCCCAGACACTTACACGACAGAAACCTTAAGGCTCGGAGAGCTGTGTTAATCTTGTCAGTAATTTTACAAGTGCTGAAACACCTGATTCTGCTCCCAATCGGTCCACTGACGTCAGCCGCGGGGACATCAGCCGTGCAGAATGTCAGCCGCGCACTGAAGCCCAGCACGGTGTAATCCCTGGGTCTGTTCTCTTCCTGCTAAGGCACTGGTGTGAGGACACATCAAATGCGTGACGCTTTCACTTGCTGAGTCTCTGAATTCTGCCCTGAGCCTGTCTTACCCCTGCAGAGAAACATCCTAGGGGACACGGAATCCCCCCCCCCCCCCCCCCCCCCCCCCCCCCCCCCCCCCCCCCCCCCCCCCCCCCCCCCCCCCCCCCCCCCCCCCCCCCCCCCCCCCCCCCCCCCCCCCCCCCCCGCCCCGCCACCCCCCCCCCCCCCCCCCCAGTCAGCGTGTCTGAATGCTGCCCCGCAGATGTTTCTGTGCCCTCTTCTAACCAATCACCACGATGCTGTCATGGAGACCCGATGCGTGGCTGGTTGGTCTGCAACCCCGACAGTGCCCAGAAAAAGACACCAGTGTGCAGGGCTGACCCTTGGAGTGACACGGGATTTCTCACACAGATGGACTGCCAGCCAGGAACTAGAAGGGCATGGGATCCTGAGGAAAGGTCGAACTGATGGTTTATTATTTCAACCTTTTTTTTTTTTTTTTTTTTTGAGACAAGGTTTCTCTGTCACTTTGGAGCCTGTCCTGGAACTAGCTCTTGTAGATCAGGCTGGCCTCGAACTCACAGAGATCTGCCTGCCTCTGCCTCCCGAGTGCTGGGATTAAAGACGTGCGCCACCACCACCTGGCTATTATTTCAACTTTTATTGCTTCCCACCATTCTAGAAGCAGAGTCACTGTAGTGTGTTAGTCTTAGACCTTTGGTATAGATTTCTGTTTTCCCTGCGTTTCCTACCTTGCCTTCCATATAGAAGATCGATAGTGTGGTCCTTTCTTCCACCAAAAGTGCCCATGAATTATAAGCATTTCTTCACATGATAAGACAGTTTTGCCAAATTTATATATTAAAAAAAAACCACCTAAAGTGGTGAATGTCTGTATTTCTACATAGGTATTCTAAATCATCAATCCAGGAAGATGCCTAGCAGGAGGCCTTGGTTAAAATAGCTAAAGAAACTAAAGATGAAGGAATGGCCAACTTGAAAAGCCAAGGAAACAGAGAGAGTAAACTTCAACAAGTCTGTAAAGTAAAAACAAAAACCCATTCCGACAACTCAGTCTGACAGTTTTGACTACATTAAAGCATCAATGCGAGAAATCTATAAATGTCATTAGTGGCCTTCATACAGTTTTGGGAGAAGTAAAGTCACCCTGGAATTATCAACCACAATCCATCTTATTAGATATTTTGTAACTTACATACAATCTCGACATATTTAAACTACTGTTTCATTGCAGGCAAAGTCAACCGAAGCTGCTTTTAACGCAAATGTTGCTGTGAATGACCGTTTTCTATGTAGTACACAAGATGAGGCTTTGTCTGCCCACCACTAAAGTATCTGTATGAAGATGAACTTTGTGGCTGAGTTAAAACACCAGCCGCAAACGGTGTGTGCTTGCTTGTCTTGTGCAGGTGATAAGGGGCCATTGCTCAAGGACAGATCTTTCTGGAACACACGAGAGAAGAATCTAACGCGGAGGCTTTTACCAGCCCAGTCTAGAAAAGCAGACCACGTGTCTCAGAGGAACTGCCAATTTAGAGTCACGACGCGAATCCTGCAGGCCACTACCTTCCTCCTTGCTCTGATGGGTAGGTTTGTATAACCACAAACCTCAGTTACAAACAAGGAGCAGCAGAACCAGGGAGGGGAGAAAACGTCCTGAAGGCTCACAAGATTAAGCAAATTCAAACGCAGTCACATTTTCATCCTCATTCTATAACCAAATATACTTAATTTTCTCTCGAACATTGCTTCCAGATATGAAGCAAAGATCTTGGTAGAAGACCTTCAGAGGATTCCTTGTTAACATCCTGTACCCCAAAGGCCCGGAAGAGCCCTCTGAAGCACAGGAACAGGATTTACTCGGGTCTCTGCCCTGTGCAGCCAGGGACATTTTCCGCTGCGGATTCAGTATCATGTCCCTTGTTGGTTTCAAACATTTGACTACAGAAGATAAAGTGCAACCGTGGTCCACACTAACCGTATATATGACAGCGGTCCCTTAAGACACAAGAGCTGAATAGGTTGAGAGGGCTTTGGGGGAGCTGTGCAGGGGAAACAGGGAGCAGAAGTGACTGTTTCATTGTATCCATTAATGAAATTCTCAAGAATAAAGAAAAATTAAGTCAAATATGTAATTCCTATTGCACTGTGATATAGCTGCCACTGGAAAATCCCAAACACTGCGCAGCTCCCGTGTTTAGGATGGTCTGTATTACCAGACACTTGTGAGTACAGCTGAGACACTTGTACAGAGCCCGTAACACTCAACTATAGTCAATTATCATATTATTGGTTCATGGATTTACCACAATACACTTCTAACCAATATTACAGTGTGGGGTTCCTGCTTTTTAACACGTTTACTACAGAACACGGTACGCGGTCACGACAGCTGCCGTACACACCTCAGCTTTGCCAAGTCTCTCGAAGGCACCTTCTCCTTCATTTTTCCTAAAGACTTTATTTTGATTTTATGTGTATGAGTGCTTTGCCTGCATGTACGTATGTGCGCTGCCTGTATGTGTGATGCCTGCAAAGGTCAGAGAAGGGATTCTGATCCGCTAGGACTTGAATTCTGGGGGCTGTGAGCAATGGTACGCATTCTGGGAACGGAATCCAGACTTGCTGCAGGAGCAGCCAGTGCTCTTAATTGCTGGGCCATCTGTCCAGCCCCATTCATGTTGTCTAAAAAACAGAACTTGCGAATGCCATGTGACCACAGTAAAAATACCCTGTCTCATAAATAAGTGTCCGCTGTCACAGTAACGTGTTGTGATGCCGAGCTCCAGAGTCTTTCACCCAAAGGCTAACCTCATGACCGTTCACTAAACATCGGAAATTTCTAACCCCACAAACTCTTCGGAATCCTAAGGGGTCAGTCCCTCCTTGGGCTCTGGATCCCTTCATCACGCACAAGGCAGCACTCTAAAACACGCAGGTTTGCAGCTTCAAGACCATCCTGACTCATCCTATTACCACGCTTTATTCTTTTGATTTTATTTACGTATTTATGCTAATTAATTTTTTTCTATTTGACAATAGTGGGGATGGAACCAAAGTTCCCCAGGCTAAGTATGCACCCTACCACTGTGTACCATCTCACAAAGGGCAGAAGTAAGCGCTCCTGACAACCCCAACCTGCATAAGGAACGGCAACGAACCTACAAGTGTATACAGGGAGAGGGGGGACCCAACCCCAAATAAACAGTCACTGAACGTAGATGGCAATGTTCAGGTCAGAATAACGGCTGGAAGAATCAATTCTGCCCTCATCCTTTACAGCATGAAATGAAAACAGGCAGAGGCATAGCCAGGGCTGCCAGCTTGCTGTCTGCCCTTCCAGTAAACTCAGATGGGAGGCAGTCAGTAACTCAGTCTCCAGTAAGGAGTTTGGCTGACTGTAATGGCTTTAGTCAAAGGCAGGAGGTACCGGTCTAGGCCTGGTTGGAGGAATACCACTCACTGAAATCCTTCAAGGCAACACTGATCCTCTGGGTGAGAGGGCAAAAGCAGGGGACCTTCATAGCTGCCCTTAGGGCTGGGACAAAGCCACAGTGCCCAGCCGGGTCCCCTGACTGGCCCTCCCTAGAGATGCTCCCGGCTCACCTCCCTCTTCACCGGGGTGCTGTGCGCGGCCGCTGCCGGGAACTGCTCTAGCGCTGGTGGCTCCTCGCTGCTTCCGCTGGCGGGCTCTGGTCCAGGCTGTGCCCCTGCTCGTCCCTGAGGCCCTGCTGCTTCCTGGGGCTCGGCCTCCTGGTCTGGCTTGGATTCCGAGTCTGATCCCGATTCGGTCGTCATGGTTGATTGTTCTGCAAGCAGAGAGAGAGAGAGAGAGAGAGAGAGAGAGAGAGGCAAGGGCCTGTCACTCGGTGCAATTATCTTCCAGGAGAACCCGTATGAAGGGGATGGGGAAGGAGAGAGGTGCCACAGTCAAGCACAGTCCCGCACTGCACTCCAGAGAGGCACTCTGTAGAGGTACCACAAAGAGTGGGACCCACAGTGGCTCAAAATGAACGTGTAACACGTGAAGTGATCTGAGAGGAGGAACCTCAATAAAAAATGTATCTTCATAACACTGGGCTGCAGGGCAAGTCTGTAGGGCATATTCTGAATTAGCGACTGATGGAGGAGGGCCCAGCCCACTGCGGGTGGTGTCATCCCTGGGCTGGTGGTCTTGGGTTCTGAACGAAAGCGGGCTGAACAAGTCATGAGGAACAGCCGGTAAGCAGCACCCCTCCATGGCATCTGCATCAGCCCCTGCCTCCAGGTTCCTGCCCTGTTTGAGTTCCTGTCCTGACTTCCTTCAGTGATGAACAGTGATGTGGAAGTATAAGCCAAGTAAACCCTTTCCTCCACAACTTGCTTTTGGTCATGGTGTTTCATCAGAGCAATAGAAACCCTAACTGGGGGCTGGAGAGATGGCTCAGGGGTTAAGGGCACCAACTGCTCTTCCAGAGGACCGAGGTTCAATTCCTGAGACCCACGCGGCAGCTCAAAACTGTCTGTAACTCCAGTTCCAGGGGACCTGACACCCATGGCAAAACACCAATGCACATAAAATAAAATTTTTTAAAATACTGTGCCCCCAAAAGGGAAAGAAACCCTAACTGGGACAAACACACACTAAAATTGAATCTGTAATGACCAGTGGGGTCTCTTCACAATAGATTGTGGCCACAGGTGAAATTTCAAAGTCACCACACTAATTAGGATAGCAGATGGGGAGTGTGTGTTTGTTGGGTATGCTAACACCTGTGAGCATTAGAATGCAGGTATATGCTAACACCTGTGAAGCATTAGAATGCAGGTATATGCTAACACCTGTAAAGCATTAGAACACGGGTATATGCTAACACCTGTGAGCATTAGAACGCAGGCATATGCTAACACCTGTGAGCATTAGAACACAGGCATATGCTAACACCTGTGAGCATTAGAATGCAGGTATATGCTAACACCTGTGAGCATTAGAACGCGGGTATATGCTAACACCTGTGAGCATTAGAATGCAGGTATATGTTAACACCTGTGAGCATTAGAGTGCAGGTATATGCTAACACCTGTGAGCATTGGAACGCAGGCGTATGCTAACACCTGTGAGCATTAGAATGCAGGTATATGCTAACACCCGTGAAGAACGACCTGTACGACTAGATAATCCACTGGCTTCTCTACACCGACGACTCTCCCACCCCTGAGTCTACTGAATTCTTCTAGCAACAGCAAATGTCTTTGTTTTTTTTTTTGTTTTCACCCAATTCTGCTATTTCCTTTTGAATTAAAATATATAAATATGTAGGAAGGGTCACACTGGCAGCATCTGTCCTGCGGCTGGAGGGCGGCATGTATCCCTCTCTCTCCCTCCTCCCCACAGCTTTCTTGGCTCCTTCCTCCTGCCCGTGAACCCTGAACGATGACTCTGCCATATCCCACAAGAAACTCAAACAAAGGTCCTCATGAGCAATTCGCTGCCACGCCTGGAAAACATCCTGGGACACGAAACTACCACCTTCTAAACCAGACTGGCATCTTGTGCCTCCGTTTCCACATGCGCCAAATGAGAAGGTCGAACATGTTCAAACCCAAACAGCCTTCTTCGGCCACTTCTGTCTCTTGCTCGCAGAAGCGTCCATGTCTTAATGCCCATTCTTCCTCTGTGTAGCATGAGAGATGCTATGTCAAGTTGCATACCAATGGTAAATACCCTAGAGATAATATATGTCCTGCAATTCCTGGTCACAATTCTAATTACCTGGTTTAAAAATCTATTCGGAGCCAAGGGCCAGTGTAATACCTTAAGTAATGATATATGCACGGGTATGATACGGGATTATACGACTATGACCGCTGACTCTACAGCAGATCCACCACTTGGCAATAAAACTACTTCAGCAAAGGAACGTCACAAACACCCATCGGTGTTTTCATCCACACTCTGCATGGAGGCTCCTCCCCTCGGTCACCAGCTATTCCTTCTGCTGAGTAAAAGACTTATCAACTTGGCATGCGTTGAGCCGCCCTAAGCAATGCAAATATCAACCCCAGAACGAGACTGTGAGCTATGCTGCCATGACACTTGGCTTTTTAAGCGCAACTTGAAAGCAAATATTGCCCTTCCTTCGCCGGCTTACTCTGGAATCTGGTATGAGTGCAGAGGAACCACGTGTGTGTGTTGGGGGGGGGACGGTGAGTGCTGTGGAGTTCAGATTCCATAATGAATTGCAGGAAAGTGAAAGACACTTCTAGCAGTCAACTCATCTGAGGACCATATACAAGGCCGGGAATGGGGTGTAACAGCAGTTACAACTTAGAACCCCCGACCCTGCCTCTGAGCCCCGAGTACTGCAACATCTAAGGCAGTGGGCGCTCAACCTTCCTGATGCTGCGACCCTTTAATATAAGTCCTCCTGCTGTGGTGACTCCCAACCAAAAAAAATATTTCATTCAAAATGATTACTACTTTATAGTTGCAACTCCGCTACTGCTCTGATACGCGACCCCTGTGGGAGAACCACCGGTCTAAGGTAAAACCCATCTCCTCCTGTCTCCTTCTTTTAGTTCATCCAAAATACTAGGAGTAGTTTGAATTGTAAAGAGGCGTGACAACAGGATCAAATCTGGACAGTAAGACAACTGAAAATCCATACAGGCACCATCACTGAGCCAAGGACCTATGGCTGCATAGGCCGTAGGCCACAAGGGAGAACTTAATATTACCGCCCTATTAAATGAACATAGCAATAAACAGACCCCCTAACAAATTACCTTTATACTCACAGATTAGCGAATCTATAAAACTTCATGCCTGAAGTTTCTTCGTTTTGCAGCAAATGGTGATTAACACAGAGACCCACGATTACTCAAGGGGCAAAAAGCGAGAGTTCAGAATGTTCAGCCCTAACTGGACCATCTAGATCACATCTCCTCCCCGCAAGGCTCAGTCATCACTGAGGAAGAGGAGGTGGAAAGACCCTAAGGGCCAGAAGCAGGGAACATCCTCGGGCAGCTGCACATATGAACTTACAGCAGTTACAGCAGCACACACAGAACCTGTGCAGACCGAGCCAGCCAGCCAGAAGCCCTGCATGGAGTCAGGAGGTGGGTACCAATCCCACCCATAAATGAGGAGCCCCTGGCAACTGAAAGTTGCTGGGGGAGGAAAATTGGGTGCTCTTTGAGGGTGCAGTCCCTGGTAGGTTGACGATGCTTCCGTGCATGGTCCCACATCCAAGTATATGGGTAGTACAAACTGAATTCAGTAATTTAATAATTTAAATCACTTTTCAAAAGAGGACACAATGTTAGGGTAGGGAATGGGACGGGAAGGGACAAGTAGACCTGGGAGAAGTTGGGGCAAAAAATGATTTACTACATTGTGTGGAGTTCTCAAAGAACTAATAACAATATTTTTAAAACATCATTCGATGTCTAGATCATCTTTATAAAGGCAAACCACATGACCTAGGCTTCCACCTTGGCTGGATGACGAGAGCTAATTGCATGGTTTCCTTAGACACAGGAGGAAGCCATGGCTACCACCTGTTTCTGACTATTCTATGACACAGTAATCTGTGTCGTCCTTAGCATCCACGCCCCCACAAAAGGCACCTGCATGCCCTTCAGTCACGAGCATGTTTCTCTCTTGCCTGCTTTTTCCTTTGTCACCTCCATATTAGCTGGTGATCCCACCAGGGCGCTGGAGTGGCTCTTGCAGCTGACCCAGCTCATAACTGTTCCTCATCAGATGCCCTGGCTCTCAAAGTATATGTCCTTGTCAACACGCCTGTCGGTTCTGGGGCTCAGGACACACCATTCGCTCTGGCTCTCTGACTGCCTGGGCCCCTCCTCTCCTGGACTGTAAGCTGCTTCTCCGAGTCCAGCCCTACATTCAGTCCAATCAGGGAATTCGATTCTGAACCTTCTCTTCTGAGAGCTTTCCCGCAGCAAACAGCATGCTTCCCAGGGCTGTAAATACTTCCTGTGTTCCTTGTCCCCTGTCTCCAGCTCAGAGCTCTGTTCTGTGCTCAGAGCTGGGATCAAACCACCCCCTTGCCAACACCCCCGAAGTTCTTGCTCTCTCTCCAAAGCTGTTTCTCCATACCCTCCTTTCTCTTTGCTGAAGAAATGGAAATGTTGCTTTCTTCACAGTTCCAGAAACCCGATATTTCCTTTACCTTATTTATCTAATAAAAAATGATGGTTCTATTTCCCAAATCCTCTTAGAACTTGCTCCCCACCACGCCATGAGCCCCATCATTTCCCCACTAACTTTCCTTTACCCCCAACACTCCGCCCAATTCCACTGCTGCTCGCCTCTGTCTAATCTTCATAAAACACAAATCCAACCCATGACTCACTGGTGGGGACCCTTCAACAGCTCCCAGGGCACACAAGTCAAATCCAAACTCCTAATTACGGTGGCCTTGAAGTTATGGCTAGAACCCAGCTTCCTCCCTGGCAGCCACCGTCTGTTCCCTCCAACACATAATAGTCTCTCTTCAAGTATCTAAATTACATCAGTCTTCTAGAAGCCTCGAGGTTTTGGTGACGTAGAAGACATATTTTTCCCTTGCTTTCAAATAGTTTCCCGTTCTTCGAGTGTTGGCAGAGAAGCCCTCCTTGGTCACACAGCTGTCTTAGCTGTGTCTTAAAGGGTTTCCTCTCTACAGTCACCCAACACTGGAGTCATTCTTTGCGCTCTTGAAATTCGATCCGTTTATCACGGAGTGAGATTCCTATGTGTTCATGCCCCAATATCCTCAGCACCAAGCTATAGCTAGAAACACGGTGCTATACTAATTATTTGCAA